AGAGGGAGAAGCAGGCTCCCCGCTGAGCAGGGAGCCAGATGTGGGACTCGATCCCAGGACTCTGGGATCATGACCTGAGCCGAAGGCAGACGCTTAACCAACTGAGCCACACAGGCGCCCCAATTTTTTTTTAAGTAAACTCTACCCACAATGTGGGACTTGAACTCACGAACCCGAGATCAAGAGCCACATGTTCTAAATTGAGCGAATCACGCGCCCCATCAACATGATTTTTCAGTGGCACTAGAGATAAATGTTATATTGTACTATACAGTTGATACTCCTTAGCCGTCAGTGTGTTTGAATGATTTTAACAATGCAAAGTCTTAAAATAATTAATGTTTGCATACCTTATAAAATCCAGGCTTCAATAAGTGAGTAAATGCAACAATTATGAATATCTGGTGGCAAAATTGAATCTCTTCTCACCTTCCTTGTCTTCATCTCTCTCCGTTCTTTTTAGAGCTGCCCACCCCATTCGAGATGCAACACCCTTCTCAGCCATCATCTCAATCTTGACCCCCTCTTCCACTCCTTCCCTGTCAAAACATACACCTGCTGAACAGTCAAGCCCTCAGAACTCTGTTGTGTGGGGAAGCTGGTAAAATTAATCATGTTAATATGTTATTGGCAGATAATATTTTTATGTGCTACTCCTTCCAGAGATAGATTTTTTAAAGGGGATTGTTGGACATTAATTTCTAGAAAGACAGAATTTCAGATACCAGGGCTAGCCCACAGGGTACTAATCATCAAGAAGGGCATCTACAGATACATCTGACAATAATTTAGCTAGCGTAACAACTGGCCAGCAAATTAAAGGATTTCCTATGGCTATCTTCTGTATTCCATGAAATGGAAAAAAGTGTCCTGCTCACTGAAGAACCACTGTTCAAAATCTAAATTTTAAAACATTGCTTAAGAGGAAGGATTAAATCACAAAAACCTGTATTTTTCCTTCCAACTTTCTCTTAACCAGAAGCTCTCTATTAGCTTGGTCTTTTAATAGATCATTAGCTACTTAATAGGAAGAGGAGGGTATAACTTTATGAGGAACAAGAGCAGGAAGATTAAAGGAAATGCAGATAGACAAAAGCATCTAAAATCATCCAAAAGTGGAGCAACTGGGAGGCTCAGTCTGTTAACGTCTGACTCTTGATTTCAGCTCAGATCATGATCTCAGGTTGAGATCGATCCCCTGCATCAGGCTAACACGCCTAAAATTCTCTCTCGGCCCCTCCACACCTTTCTCCCCATCATAAATAAGTAAATAAACAAACAAATAAAATCATGCAAAAAGTTACTGCAAATTAAGATTCAGAAATGAATATAAAGAGTGACCACTAGAGGCACCGGGGTAGTTCAGTTGGCTAGACATCCGACTCTTGATCTCCACTCAGGTCATTATCTCAGGGTGGTGGGACTGAGCCCCACGTGGGGCTCTGCACTGAGCACGGAGACGGCTTAGGATTCTCTCTCTCTCTCTCCCTCTCCCTCTGTCCCCACCCACGCTTGCACAGGCATACATGCACTCTCTCTCTCTTTGGGGAAAAAAAAAAAAAGTGACCACTAATAGCTACGTGGTTTCTTTTTGGGGTGATAAAAATGTTCTATAATTGTGGTAATGGTTGCACAACTCCATGAATATACTACAAAACCAATGAATTTGTACACTTTAAAGGAGTAAATTGCATGGTATGCAAGTTATAGCTCAATAAAGCTGGGGCTTTTTTAGATTGACTGATTGATTTTAGATAGAGAAAGAGCGAGTAGGAGGAGGGACAGAGACAGACGGAGAGAGAATCTCAAGCAGACTCCCGCCCTGAGTGCGGAGTCTAAGGCAGGGCTTGATCCCAAGACCCCGAGATCATGACCTGAGCTGAAACAGAATCAGATGCTCAACCGACTGAGCCACCAAGGCACCTCTCAATAAAGCTGTTTTTTAAATTTTTTTTAAAAATTAATTTAGATCCCCACCCCCCAAAAGTAACTGTTTTTATGACAGAGCAAGATAATATTAACTACATGAGCCTAGGTACTTAAATAGGTTTGTTTCTCCTGTGCAAGAGGAATTTTCTGGGTTACGTGGATTTTCTTTTTGCTCTTGGGCCTTTTCATCTTGGGTTCTTAGGGAGTCCTCTCGGTCCATTACAGACCCCAAAAGTTAAAACCAGAAATAGACATGACCACTTAACTCATGTTCGAAATAAAATCCATTGTGCTTATTTCTTACCACACTTTCTTAAGGCAACGATGAAGGTGTTGTGCAATGACCAGAACATTCCCACTGCCAGGCAAGAAAAGCACTGATAGTAAGGGAATGCCTAGAAGACCACACACCACAGGTCCTCTTCCCTGCCCACGATCATGTGCTGAAAACATACCGATCCGCAGCCGTGATCATGCACTCCCTGCCTGCTCTCTCGCACGTACTCCCCTAACCTCTCCCTGTAAAACTCTAGGTGTCCACCTTGTGGGCAGATGGGTGGGTTGTTAAGGCTTGAGCTGCCACCTCCCCCAGCTGCCAGTACCTGAAATAAATTTCTCCTTTCTCTTTTCCAAACCCTCCTCTCTTGAGTTATTGGCTACTCCTGCAAGAGTGTATCTGAGTTTGTTCGTGACAGTGTTGGCAAACCCAGCCAGGAGCTGTGCTTCTGATTGTCCAGTCCCCTTGGGGTTCCCAGAGACAGAGCAGCTGGTCCCAGCAGCACCAGGGCTCACTCGCTCCTTTCCTGAGTTAGCAGTTGTGACAGATCGTTCGCTAATAGGGTGGCATTGTTATCATCATCATCATTATTAAAATCTATTGTATGTCTTTTCCTGTAAACCATCACATCAAATGTCTACATACTATATGTATATATATATTTATATACATTAACAATAAGCCTAAAGTCACAAAATATCTAACCTACAAACCTTCAGGACACAGAAGAAGAAATTTGTAAAGATAAATATAACTGAACATTGTATAGCACTTTATGCTTACGTGGTACTCTCCTATAAAATTGTCTCCTTTACTGATCAAGACAACCTGTAAGATATGCCTAGACTTTTGTGATGTGTCAGGGAATGACAGAAATGAAACCATCTTGGTTTTGTCTGATCGTACTGCTGCTCTTCAGAAACAAAACACACAAAAATATTTGAAAGCAACATTTCAGGAAGGTACTAGCTTGTTAGAAGCCTTGATTAACACAGATAAGTGTAACACACAGTCTGGAATAGCCTTATGCTTGACAATCTACAATGGCCTTGTGGGGCTCTGCACTGGGTGTGGAGTCTGCTTGAGATTCTCTCTCTCCCCCTCCCTCTGCCTCTGCCCTTTCCCTCTCCCTTCTCCTCCCTCCCCCCAGTGCACACTCTCTAAAATAAAATAAAATAAAATAAAATAAAATAAAATAAAAAACAATTGTATTAACGTTGTGTGTAGCATGTCTTAGATGTGACATGTCTTAGGGAAAACAAAGAATAAAAGCTTTTGGTTAAAGGCGAAAGCAAGAGTAGTTCAGTTACCCATTCTGGAACAGTAAATGACTCTCTGCATATCCTCCTAATCCTCATCTTACCAACATTCACTATATCATAGCAAACTGTGTGGGGAATGCAATCTCCTGCAGAGGGAGTAAACATGAGGGACAAAAATAAAATTTCAATTTGCCATTTATTCAATATTACCCTCAGTGATTTCACACGCTACAAAACTCTGAGCAAGAAAAAAAAAATCAGGTTAAATTGTTTCAATTAGAAACTAAATATATGGAAAATGCATTTCTATCTGGATAGCTTAAATTCAAATTCTTTGGAGAGTACTCTTGATTCAAATGACAACAACGATCTGGTTCTTGCTTAATTTTTTTTTAAGAGTTTATTTATTTATTTGAGAAAGAGAGAGCACAAGTGGGGGCAGGGGGGCCTGCAGCGGGAGAGGGACAAGCAGTCTCCACACTGAGCAGGGAACCCGACGTGGGGCTCAATCTCAGGACCTCAGGATCATGACCTGAGCCAAAGGCTTAACTGATTGAGCCATCCAGGTGCACCTGGTTGTTGCATGTAATTTATGAAAGCCATCATTCTAAAATTTTAAGTCACTGTAGTAGTATTTCTTAGAGGAAATAAGAAATTGAAAATTGAAAGCAGTGTATTTGTTGGAAATACAGAACTTTATGATGCAATCCTACGACAATAATCACATAATAGTAAAAATGCAGACAAAGATATTAAGACAATGTTATTTAGGATTACAAAATTATCTATCTAGGTAAGTAAATCATGGTCTTACGGTACCATGGAATACTATGTGGCCATTAAAAACAGTGATATAGGTACGTATTTATAAATTTAATAGAGAGGTTAAGGCCTGAGGAATAGGAAAAGCATTCTCTCTTCCATATCTACCACTTTAGACACCAACTATTTTTTTTTAATAACTAAACTACCTTCTTCAGTGTAAAGAAAAACTACCTCCTTCAGTGTAGGGAAAAGTCCAAAAAAATGGTTCTGAACCAATTTTGTATAGCTTCGGAACACGGCATATTCCCTAATAACTCTCTGCCTATAGGACAGGGAATTTCTTGGCTCTCATTCACTGCTAGTATCAAAACTGCTCCCCAGTTTCTTAGTACAAATCTTGTATGCCTGACCTGACTCTCCTCTATAGCTTAACATAAATGACATGATAGAAAAATTGAACACAGATCCTCAACAGTGACTTATTTATTAGAACCAAGAATGCTTCAAGAGCCACTATTAGAAGATGTAGTAATATAGTAATTAAATGTGCTAGCTAATACTTAAGTGCCATATACATGCATTAACAAATTTCAAAGAACTCAAAAACACTAAATATACAAGAGTTAAAATAATACTGAAAATTATTTTCATCTCTTTAAGCATAAAAATAATTTGGGATCCTAGAGTACACATAGCAAATTCAGTTATAAGTAATCACCCCTTAAGTTACTTGTTTTCCAAGTTTTATTCACAACAGATCTGCTTCTCTTGAAGCAAAGCATAACTATATTGCTCACAAGCCATTCTATGTTTCTAGGCTTCTTCCCTATTACATTTATCTCTGTTTCACAAATACCATGTGGTCTTATGACAATCCAGTCTTGGCAGTATAAACCAGATTCTTATCAACTGACAGAGTCATTTTCTCCAGAGTTTCAGAAAGTTTTACTAAATAAGTAATTTCTCTATGAAATCCTCACCTTCATCTTTTAATTGGTCAGCTTTTCCCACATCTTCAGGCACTGAGTTTGAGAGAGGCAGAATGTCATTCTGAAATTAAATAAAAATCAATGTATTTCCATTTAGCTATATAAAAGAGTCATCCCACAGAACTATAAACAATAATGAATAACTGTATTACAGTAACTCATCTGTAATTACGTGTAATGAAATTTAACTTGTAAATAAACGGGTTAGAAAGAAATAGGGTAAAAATCCTCTCATACATACTTTTATTAGAAAAATGAATATGTAGAATTTCTCTAGAAAATAATGGGCTACTGTGAATCAAATTTTTTTACTTGCTTTTCTGAGATCAAAAAATTCTACTTCATGCACAACAAATATAAATAATCAGTATACTTAAAATACTATAACCATAAAATAAAGGCAAATGATAACATGGGTAATGGAAATAAATTGACTAGTTTACATTTATGCTACAAGTTTATTATGTATTTTATTGACAAATACATTTTTAGTGAATGGAAATGCTTCACTGTTTTTAAATGAACATGCTGTTGGAAATAAATTCATTATATTTAAAAATAAAAACAGGATATTTTGTTATCCAGATTATGTATTAGCTATAGTCATGAAGCTTTGTTTTTCTGAAATTCCTAATAAATTCTATTAAATTCTGGTAAAATAAATAAATAAATAGCTAACCAGTATACAAAGACTAGGAATAGAAATATGTTAAAGAGATTGTTTATATTAGTGAAAATCTTGAAACATAATGTTTAATATTCAAAGAAATATCCTAGTACGTCAAATTCACAGTTTACAAAAAGAAGCATTAATAATATGATCCTATTATTTAAATATGTGCACAAACACATACACATGCACACAGGCTAAAAAACAAAGACAGGAAAAGTCTAACACAAAAGGTTAACTGTAATATTTGGAGGTAAAATTTTCAGTCTCTTCTTTATATCTTTCCACGTTGACCAAATTTTTTTAAACAATGGACATATATTAATTTCATCATAAAATTAAAAAACAATGTAAATTTCCTATTTTCAGTAGTTACTATCATCCTCAAACCTCCTTTGCATTCATAAGGTTCAAACCAAAGGCACACGCAGAAATATCTTGAGTGGCACTGGGAACACAATGCATTTTTCCATTTTTGAAAGATCTTTTTTAAATTGTGCTTTTACACTTGACTCTGAAGTTCATGAGTAAATCTATAGTTTTCAAGAAAACATAATTTGTAACTAATATACCTCTGTACTACATTTAGAATATGTCCACCATGTTCTTTGTCTTGATTAAGGTTTCACAGAACTTGATAACTCTAATGATGGAAATATACTTCTCTAATTACACAAAAATTTTCACAAGTATAAAATCATTCATCAAGTACATGAGTTCTTATTTTTTGTAATCTTTCTCTACTAATCAGTTTTTCTAAACAAAGTATCGGAGGAATAAAAAAGTACAGAATCGAAATGGGAATCCTTGTAAGTAGAGGTCCCTACTTAAAACTGACTATGGTCTCCTAGGATGTAAGTGTAGTTCAAGGACACAGGACTGCCCTGCAGTACTTGCTGTCAGGGTTTCTTCCATTTCACATCTTCTAACAAGGCTGGGCATTTAATGCATGGGGGGGAAAGTGGCTTTTTTGAGTCACAAAAAATGGCATATTGATAAATGGACTCTAATCCATTCTGTCTAAATCCTTCTGAATTATTTTAATGAAATTGCCACAGTTTTAGATCTTTGAAAACTAATTCTCATATTCACTGAATACATTTGAGCAGCCCATAATGTGGGGACGAGGGTTATCTACTTTATATAAAAGGAATGAATCCATTTAGTATATAAACTTAACTGGGGAGGAAAAACACAAGAGCAGTATTCTAAAACTAAAATGACCAACATAACAACCAAGGACACTTGGTGAGACGAATAATTTCTTTTTTTCTGAAGTTTTTATTTTAATTCCAGTTAGTTAACATACAGTATTATATTAGTTTCAGCTGTACAATATAGTGATTCAATAATTCCATACATTACCTGGTACTCACCACAAGTGCCCTCCTTAACCCATCACCTGTTTCACCCACCCCCCACCCTCCACCCCTCTGGTGACCCTCAGTGTGTTCTCTATAGCGAAGAGTCTGTTTCTGGGTTTGTCTCTCTTTTTTTTATCCTTTGCTTGTTTGTATACTTCTTAAATTCCACACATGAGAGAGATCATATGGTCTCTGTCTTTCTCTGACTGACTTATTTCGCTGAGCATAATACCCTCTAGCTCCATCCACGTCGTTGCAAATGGCAAGATTTCATTCTTTTTGAAGGCTGAATAGAGACAAATAATTTCTTTAATTATAATAATTTTGATGCTGCTTCGGGCAAGTTTGAGACTCTCTCTGAGGTACTCTGCTAACAAACACGTATGTGATGAAGTTGCTGCTGTTAAATAGGAATAACAAAGAACTGACACCACAGATAACACTATGCAGATACACAATGGAGCCAGTTCCAGGAAATTATATTTTAAAAATAGTAAGTAAAAAATTTTTACAATTAAATATAATCAGAGGGAAATAGTAAGAGAGAAAGAAAACAGAGCCCTACTTAAACAGAATGCAAAAGTCAATTTGAGCCTACTGGGAGGTGAAGAAAAAGTTCTGATCTCTTTAGTATTAGGTCAACAGTGACAGAAGCTAAGGAATGAGCAAATCCAAATGTTGTCTCAAGCACAGGCCTCTTGGGCATCTAGGAGTTAAATAAAGTCAGCTTCAACCATGGGCATATCCAGCCACTGAAACGGGGTTCCCTAAGGAGGCCAGAAGCCCAGACAATCAAAGAACCACAGCAACCAAAGCAAAGCAAAGAGGAATTCTCTGATGGGGACCCATAGACATGTTACTATCTCCTTACATCTTTGTCATAGAATTAGAATTCATCTGTCTGATAACTGCACTATTCTTTTTTCTAAGTACAGAAAGAGAGAACAGTATACTGCCAAATTGCCAACTTCATTGCAACTCCAACAAGTTCTAGAAACAGTCAATGTGGTAGTCTCAGCAATGTCCCTGCCAGGCTGAAGCATACACTACATGCTTTAGCCTCTCGCCTCAGTTCCTCATTCCGTGTTGAAGCTTGAATACAGAACTAGAATAACAAAAGGAGTTCATGAGGCACCGAAATGTAATGAAAAAACACAGGGGAGGTCACCCTGAGGCCCTAAAGTCAGTAACCTTAAATTTTTTCAGACAGTTTAAGGGACGCCTGGGTGGCTCAGTTGGTTAAATGTCAGACTCTTGATTTTGGCTCAGGTCATGATCTCAGGGTTCTGAGACTGAACCCTCCATGGGGCTCCGCACTAGGCATGGAGCCTGCTTAAGATTCTCTCTCTCTCCCTCTCCTTCTACCCCTCACTGCTCCCTGCTTATGCTAATCTCTAAAAATCAATCAATAAATAAATAAAACTGTTTTTAAAAAAATTTTTTTTTCCAGGCAATTTTATGGTCCATGTTCCCTGAAAAGGCCAGAAACCAGAGACCATTATAAACAGTTCTCGAGAGCAGGGATATCAGAAAACTTGGTTTTCGGCATTACTTTTTGCACAATGACCTTGAGCCTTCCCCTGTTTTAAAGAGCCCTATCAATGGCCAAATTTGACGAAATCTGCTTCAAAATGATGATTCAATTCCTGATGAATCTGTTTTTACATAGTTGCTTCGTAAACAGGAAAATTTTGTTTTTAACTTGTATTCCATGTCAAAAATCTAAAAATGCTCAGATACTATAAAGGACATAAAAAGCAACTAAGACATATCATTAAATATAAAAGAAGGTGAGAGGATATGAATAGCTACTAATATGAAAATCTAAAGCATGTTAAAATTATATTTTAGGTCCCCAGTAACATCCATGTGGACTATCTAACTTACACCCAGAAAGAAGTTAGTTACGTAAAGGCCTAGCAGCTCAAATGTTAACAACTCAACATAATTATCATAGTCAGACTTAAATCAGATACTAATGAGAAAACAGTGACAGCTTACCTTACAGAAGGAATTGGTGAACATTTCTGTCAAAGGCTGTGAAACTGCTAGATGGGTATCTTCTGGGCTGATTTTAAAAACTGTCTCCAAGCACTGAATTGCAACTTGAAATAAATTTGAATAGTGAAAAAAAAATTAGCAACCTAAAAAAAGAAACGACCTTTTTTTCTGGTAGAAATCTGCACTCAGTGCAATCTGTGGTAATTCAGTATTTATGATCAGAGAACATAAGGAAAAACTAAATGGTTCAGCTACATAGAGATTTCTGTTTATAGACCAGCTGCTGAGGGAAGACAACTTGATTTTTTATTCCTTACTTAAGGAAAAATGTTACCTAGAATATAATTTCTCAATATATCCATTACATCATATTCTTATTAAAGCAAGTCATTAACAACAACTGACTCCTCTCTGCCAATATCTGATTAACCACCAATGATCTAACGCCTTGAATAAAACAAACAAAAACATCTTCTTTTTCAATGTGAGAAACAGAATTCTCAACCTGACCAAAAATAGTAACAGAAACAAATTCTGGCTCATAGGAGGCACTAAATATTAATCCTGGCATATTTACTTAGGTGAAAATAGGTGGGCTTTAAAAAATTCATTCATGCCTGCAAATTTACCCCAAGCACCTACTATGTGCAAGGTGCTGTTCTAAGGTGATAGAAAGATAGCAGTTAATCTGAGGACAAAAATCGCTATCCATGTGATGAAGCTTAACATTTAAGAGAAGGTGGCAGACAAGCAGAAAAATACATGGAATGTTAAATGGTGATAGGTGCGTCATCTGCATTTGGTGTATGACGAGAAAACTGATGTGGCCAGGGTACAGACGGGATGGAAAGACATGGTGGGAGATTATGCTAGAAAGCAAGTCTGTTGTTGGATGACAAGGCACCTTATATAACGTTCTCAAAGAATGTGCACTTTACACTACAGGCAAATGGAGAGCCATTAAAAAATTCAGTGAAGAATATTATAACTGGATTTGTGTTTAGAACCAAAACTCTGGTAGGAATGCTGAGAATGAATTAGACAGGGAATAAGATGCAGGCCTTATCCTCAGAGACAGTCTAATGTGGGAGACAGTTAAATGCATGTAATACAGTATAATAAGTTCACCAAAAGAAACATGTACCAGCTACATGACAGAGTAAAGGAAATTACCCCTCAGATCAGGGAGGGTTCCCACTTAAATGATCTAAACAAACAAGGGGTCCAAACCAGGGCAATTACAGGAAAGAAAGCTATCCTGTCATTTCTACGAGTACTCACGGAGGGGAATGGAGGCAGATTCTCATCTTGAGGATGCTCTCCTTTGAAAAGGAATTCTCTCCCGGTTCCACAAGATGAGAATGAAGCCCAAGTGTCCAGTGTACTTCCAGACAGTGTGGAAGAGATTCACTTATATTTGTGGAGGACTTTTTATTATTTGTATTCAATATATTTAAGTTAAAAACAACAAAAAAACAGTTCACCCACTTCTCTCACCCCGCTCCCCACCTCTGACAACCACCAATCTCTTCTATCTATGTGCTTGGTTGGTTTGTTTATTAGCTTCCATATATAAGAGAGATCATACAGTATTCATCTTCCTCTGTCTGATTTATTATACATTCACTTATATTTGTGTATGACTTTTAAAAGATACATTATGTATTAATTGTGGTCTTGAGAAAAATACCTCTGTCACAAAAGAAATACTATTATTTTTTCTATCCAGAGAACAATCCTCCTTAGAAAAGGGACTGAATAAGCAACTAAGTTACCAAGTATAAGAAATCAGAGTGTCTTTTACATAGAACATAATCCACTGTTTACTCATTCCTCATTCTCTCAATTTCTATTCTTGCCAAGCAGCTGTTCTCAAACTTCAGTCTGTATCAGCACTAAAAACACTGGGCCACAAGGAAACAGGCTCCCATCGCCATGAAGACAGTCAATGTAAACAACAACAATAATAATAATGGTAAATATACGTGTGTGTTTATGTGTATATATTTATTCTGGATCAGTATCTTTCCTCCCTGATCAGAATGGTCATTGCCTTTATGTGCCATGTTGTTGGTACCTGTTTCTATTATTGAACTTATCATACTATATTACATGCGTTTAAACGTCTGTCTCCCACATTAGAGTGTCCCTGAGGATAAGGACTGTATCTAACTCATCTCTGACTTTAACAGATCTGGCAAATAATAGGTGTTCAATAAATTTAATCTACGTCTTTGTTTACAGTGGAAGTAATAGTTTAATTACAGAGGAAATAACAACAATAAAATCTGTAGAGAAAAGCACTTCTCCCCTCCAAAACATTAATGCATGGCCATGGGAAAGAGGGATAGTACACAATCAAGTCCGTAACCAAAACCCACAGTATGTAACTTTACTGCTAAACACTGACAGGTGGAAAGTCCATGTGGTAACTGAGGGATTTTTATGCTCTATCCTGTTGAGGAAATTCAGTCCAGCTCCTTTATCTGTGCTGCCACTAATCTTAAAACACAGATCTGGTACATAATAGACACAATTAAATATCATTAAAGGAGGTGGCTGTTTTGTTTTAAACACAATTATTTGGCCTGTGTTTTTTCAAACCACTTTACTGAGGTATGGTTGACATATAAAAAGCTGTCCGTGGGGCGCCTGGGTGGCTCCGTCGTTAAGTGTCTGCCTTCGGCTCAGGTCACAATCCCAGGGTCCTGGGATCGAGCCCCGCATCCGGCTCCCTGCTCCGCGGGGAGCCTGCTTCTCCCTCTCCCGTTCCCCCTGCTTGTGTTCCCTCTCTCGCTGTGTCTCTCTCTGTCAAATAAATAAAATCTTTTAAAAAAATAAATAAATAAAATAAATAAAAAGCTGTTCATATTAATGTCTATAACTCCATGAGTTTGGGGATAAGTATACACCCATGAAACCATCACCACCGTTGAGGCCGGAGACATACTCATCACCTCCCAAAGTTTCCTCTCACCACCTTTATTCTCGTGTGTACATGTGTAGTAAGAACACTTAACCTAGATCTACCTTCTTACCAAACTTTTAGTACAGAACACAGTTGGTGATAGGCACCAGGCAGACTAGTAAGTCCTCAGAACTTAATTATCTTGCATAACTGAAACTTTGTACCCTCTGACCATCACCTCCCTATTTTCTCCTTCCCCAGCCCCTGGCAACTATCACTGTACTCCCTGATTCTACGCGTTTGACTATTTTAGACTCCTTATATAGGTAAACAGAATTGTTTGATAGGTAAATCCAGCTGCCAAAGTGTTTAGCCTTGATGATGATGGTGTGGGTGGAAAGACTGAGGCAAAGGCCCAACTGGAATAGGTTCAAAAAAGAACAGGAGAGGAATTAGAAAAGGCAAGTACAGACAGCTCTTTCGAAGAGTTTTCCAGCAAAAGGAACACAAAAAGAGTAGGCAGTAGTGGCGGGGGTGGGGGGGGAGATTTGGGAGGGGGGTAGTATGACAAGAACTCAGGACTACCTCGTTATCATTTTTCATCCAATCAAAAAAAATCAAATAACCTAGGTGCAATAATTTATCTTATTTTACCTCAAGATTCTCATGTATGAAACAAGGATTATTACATTTGATCCTCCTTTCAGGAGGTCATACTCAAGAATAAGTCATACAAATATAAACAGATACTGTATATAATTATTGTTCCACTTTAACAACAAACAATAATAGTGCATTTGGTACTGATGAGGAGCAGGGCAAGTGAAGAGTTCTATTCAACACTACCATATCCCATCTGTACAGCACTTTATTCAAAAGCTACCATATGCTAGGTACCTGCCATCACTGATTCTGATTCTCTTAACGAATCTATCAGATGGAGAGGAGGCAGACAGCTTCACCTAACAGACTGAGAAATTAAGATACAGACCAACTGAGTGATAGGCCCAGGATCACTTGACTCAATTCATCAATTCAATTCAACAAATACTTATTGAGCACCTACCAAGTGTCAGGCAATTTTCTACATGCTTCAGATATATCAGTGAATAAAAGAGAAAAAATCCCTGACCTCTTGGGGCTGACCTTTTGGGGCAGGGGTGGAGAGGTAGGCTATAAGCCATAAAAAGTAGAGCAGGGCGAAGAGACGCAAGTATGGAGAGCAGAGCAGGGAAGCAGGCTGCAGATGCAAGAGTGCCCAGCATAGGCCTCCTTCAGAAAAGAGATCTGAGACTCAGACTTGAGTCAAAAGACTCAAAGGAGATGGGGGCTATTACCATTATCTGGAGGAATAACAATCTAAGCAGCAAAAAACAACTACAACAGAAGCCTTTAGGAAAGAGGATGTCGTGTATTCAGAGTTAGGAAGCTAATTTGGCTCAAGACAAATGAGAAAGGGGAAGAGTCTGTGAACAACACATCACAGAAGTCCAAATTATATAAATCCTTTAAACCATGACTAAGTAACATGAGAAGTCCCTGCAAGATTTTGAGTGGAGAAATGATAGAATCTGACATACTGTTTTACTTTTTTAAAATTTTTTAAAGATTTTATTTTTAAGTAATCTCTACACCCAACGTGGGGCTTGAACTTACAAACCCAAGACCAAGAGTCACATGGTCTACTGACTGAGCCAGCCAGGCGCCCCTGACCTACTCTGTTTTAAAAGATCACTGGCGGTTGTGTTGGGAATATTCAACAAAGCTGCAAGAACAGAAGCAGACAGACTAGTTAGAGGCTACTACATTAAAACAGATGAGAAACACTTAATTCTACCCAGGGGTGACATAAGTGCAGGTGGGAGGAAATGGTAAGACTCTAGATATATTTTGAAGGTACAGCCAACAGGATTAATTAAATGATTAAATGCACAGTCTGAGAGAAAAGAGTCCAGAATGATGCCCAAATTTTGGGCCTAAGCAACTGAAAAGACAGAGTTGCCATCAACTGAGATAGGGAACAGATTTTGGGTGGGAGGATCAGGAGTTCAGTCTTGGAAATGTTCAGTTTGAGATGCCTATTAGACATAGAAGCAGAGATATCTAGTAGGCAGTTGGATATAAAAATCTGCAGTTCAGAAGGAAGGTCTTGACTGAATGCCAAGAAACTGAATGATACCATAAAAAAAGTGAGTATAGATAGTGAAGAGAAGAAGATCAAGCACTGGACCCTGGGCACTCCAGGTCAGGGAAAGGAAGAGAAACTAGTAAAGGAGATGGAGCTTGCTTGTGTTCCCTCTCTCACTGTGTCTCTCTCTGTCGTAAATAAAAAAAAAAAGAAAGAAAGAAAGAAAGAAAGAAAGAAAGACTAGGAGAGGAATTTTTTTTTTAATATTTTATTTATTTATTTGAGAGAGAGAGCAAGCGAGCAAACAGAGGGAGATGGAGAGGGAGACAGAGAGGGAGAAGCAGACTCCCCGCTGAGCAGGGAGCCTGAAGCGGGGCTTGATCCCAGGACCCCGGGATCATGACCTGAGCCAAAGGCAGACGCTTAATGACTGAGCCACCCAGGCGCCCCAGGAGAGGAATTTTTAAAAGCAAATATATACAATTCTTTCAAAGAGTTTTCCAGCAAAAAGGGAGGACAATAAAAGTAGGCAGTAGTTTGGAAGCAGGGGGCTAATAAGGCAAGAGTAATTAGCTGCTGTTTTTGCTTTTTTAAGAAGGGAGAAATAATGAAAAGTATATTCTGATAGAAATGATCCAGGACAGAGTGAAGATTTGCTGATGTAAGTCAAGAAGGGCAGAATAACTCGAGTGATATCCCGGAGTAGGTGAGACAGGACAGAATCAGATCCAGTGTGCCAGTAGAGAGGTTTCATTTAGAAAAGACAATGGATGGTTCATCTATGGTGTCTTAGTCTGTTTGGGCTGCTCCAACAGAACACCATAGACTAGGTGGCTTATAAACAACAGAAATTTATATCTCAAAGTTCTGAAGGCTGGGAAGTCCAAGATCAAGGTACTAGCAAATTCAGTGTCTAGTGAGGACCTGTTTTCTGGTTCCCAGATGGTGCCTCTTCACTGCGTCCTCACATGGTGGGAGCAAAGGAGCTCTCTGGGGTCTCTTATAAGAGCACTAATCCCAATCATGAAGGCCCCACCTCCTAATACCATCACAATGGGCATTAGGTTTCAACATATGAATTTTGAGAAAACACAAATATTTAGTCCATGGCATATGGTAATAGCTAGGCAGGCAGGCAGAGTGTGTGGGGGTGTAGATGCTGGTGTGTGGATAGAGGGGGCAGGGGGAGCCTGTGGAAATTATTTTCTTATTACTTTAATTCTCTTGGTGGAGTAAGAAGCAAGGTCATCAACTAAAAGTGAGTACAGGGGAAGAGGTTTGAGGGTTTGAGAAGACAGGAGAAAGTGTTAAAGTAGTGGTCTATGAGAGCAAAAGTATGAACGAACTTGGAAGAGACAGTGTGATTGCCAGGCAGCATTAAATGTCCACTTGAGGCTCATGGTCATGAATTCAAAGTGGGACCAATCAGCAAAGTTGTATGTGTTGTTCCATCTATACAGAGTCACATGGATAAGAACACACAGTTGGTGGAGAGCTGAATTTAAGCAAGGTTGGGTTTTACAAGAAAGGGAGAGATATACAAGGGCATGAACATAATGATGAACCATGGAATTTAAGCAAGGTAAGAAGAGGGTTGTGAAAGAAAGATCAACAGACTGGAGCTACCACAGGGTCAAAGATTGTTGAGGTAGGGATTATAGAGGGAATGAGCTGCAAAGACAGGCAGTAGTGGTCAGGAAGTGAAATGTTTACAACAGAGATTATGGAGAGAATGCAGTTTCAATAATGAGAAGGTCCAGGGAAGAGTTTCTCACCCTTGGCACTACTGACAATTTGGACTTTGTTCTTGGGCCATCCTGTGCATTACAGTATGTTTAGCAGTATCGATGGCCTCTACCCACTAGATGCCAGTAATACCAGCCCTCAGTGGTGACAATTAAAAGCATCTCCAGACACTGCAAAATCACCCTGAGTTGAGAACCACTAGTCTAGGGTATGACCACGCGGCTGAGTAGTTGAGATCACCAGAGGAAAAGGAGGTCAAGGAACAGAGTGCTGAGAGAACTGAAAGAAACACCTATGAGGTGATTGCAATTGCCAAGAATTCAGACAGAGTAGTACTAGAGAGAGTGACAGGGAACAGGAGCACATAAAACAGATGTCAGTAGGTGACAACAGTTAGGAGTGGGTGACATTATCTGGTGAAAAAGCTCAAAGCTGATAAGACTATAAGACCTTACCACTATGGTAAGGCTGTTACTAGAACTTCGGCTCCTTTTCTAGGGCTTTTTTAAATGTCTAGAAGGTGGGCAGACTTCTCCACATGATTTCATACTCAATTAAATTAGACTCACAGAGTCAAAAATAGGGGTCGGTCAAAAACAATTGGCACCATTTCTGACTGCCATATATAACAAACAGCTGAAGGCACATATTTTTGGCTGAAGACCATCCTAAAAATAGGACATAACATCTTGATTTTTAAAAAACCTCTCAATTCTCTTTCTGGCCCTTAGAAGGATGTATTATACTGCCTTCGATTGGAAAAGAAACATCTTTTATTAAATGGTTGCTTTTATCTGTTTGCTACTGAGCAACCATAACCAATGTTTTCTTTAGATAACCAGTCACCTTTACCTTCACATAGTTTAACCACCAAGGAGGACAAAAAGATCTTATGAAATGAACCGACTGCAATGCTCTCCAACTGTGTGTCACCTACTCCTCTCACTGCCACCTGGAAAGACAGTGTCTCACCAGATTGCAAGCAGATTTAGAGCAAATGCCCAATTTTCATCCCCACCTCTTAAAAGCATATTCACAATGAAAGTGCTTATTGAAATTAATAGATGCATCCCCTTGATAGGAGGAATAGCTTCAAGATGGCAAATCAAATTGTATTATAATCTATTAAATTCTCCCAAATGTAGTCTCATTGCAATAATTAAGTCTTTAAGGAAGCTATACTCATTCAAACTCCATAAGCCCATCTGCAGAATTCTACCCTGTTATGGTTATACTGAATTTAAATTTTATAATGCATAAATGTGAAGCAGAAAAGATGGTGTTCAAGGAAACACGTGATGCTATCATCCAAGTCCTGCTCAACTTCACAGATTACCAAATCTAATATTTAAAGCTCACACAGAACAACAGTGAAATCCTCTCATTTTCAAATCCCCAAATAGAAAGTTGTCAGAGCTTAATTGTGATGTAATTATTACACTTTTACATACTGCTTTTATGATGGCTAAGGTATTTTCATATATTGATTCTAAATGGGATGCTTTCCTATTAGGAAGAGACAAGATCTTCAGAGTAAAAACCAGGATTTAAACCTCAACTTGGCCACATTCCACTGTTATGTCACTTAATCTATCTGGTTTCATTTCATTATCTGTTAAGTGAGGATAATCCTAACTTAACAGTTACTGTAGAGAAAAAATTCCCTACAGTATGAACAGCATAGTTCTGACACATAACAGTTGTTCAGTAAATGAACCACGGTCCTCGTATTGTGTTGTTAGTTAAAACAAGCCTCAGAAAATGGAAACACAATCTCTCTTCTTGAAAGAGCAATAAAATACTTTAATTTTGTTATAATAGATCATAAAGTCAGGCTTATAGCTATTTTAGTCTTTGTTTACAATTATAACACAAATGAACATAAAGAGCAGGTGCCTACCTTCCAAACTTTCTTGTTCATCTGAAGTATAAACATCCATCTGACTTTGTTCCCGTAAGAAACGAATAACTGCATAAACTAAGTGCTTGATAGATGACATTTTAAAAGCTTAAACACTTTTCCTTGATAAGAAAAATGGAAAACAGCGATCCAAGTTATGTTAAAGAATCTGTCAGGAAGGTTATAAATAACTAGATTATAAATTACATCAAAAGTAAAAAGCAAAAACAGAACCTCTATTACCTTCAGTCTTCTTTTTAAAGAGTCAGGAGAACACAAAGTGTTGTTATGGTAACGTATTACATATTTTCACTTATACCCAATAGTATTAGATTGTTAAAACTTGCAAAAGTAAAATTTTTCTCAAAACATGTAGAACATAAGCTTAGACTCTCACTGAATATCTCACTGTCTCTTAACAGTATATATAGCACAGATACAGATCAAGACAGGGGAATAGATACAGATGTAGAAATCCCCAAAAGGCCTCTGTACTAAGTTGAGGGAGATTTCATACTGCTGACTCAGAAGCTGATCTACAATGAGCATCTTCCTCTATTTCATGAGATTTTTAAAAATGTATGTATAATTTACCGTGCACCAACTTTTGTAGGGTTAGACTGTTATTTGAGGAGGAAATATATTAATGGAAGGGTGTTCAACCATTGAATGTCATTCTTAATAAAAATGGCATTTCTATTTAGTCAAGACATGTCGGAAAACCATTGCCTAAGTCGATGGATACTACATACCGACCAGTGCTCTCTGCAGTAGCTGTGCTCTCGTGGACAAGCTGGAAGCTCCCTGTCATGTTCATTCACATGGAATACTATCGCTTCCGAACAGTGGCGCAGGCCAGCCGGCCTTAATGGCTTATTTCCACTAAATCGCATCATCCATCTGTTCCCCAGGTTCCCTAATCCAAAGCCAGGGTGTGGTACCCGCCGCCAGGATGTTTATTATTTCTGGGCTTATTTTAAAGGCGAGCCCAGTCTTTAGGCCATGGGCTTGCAAGTACTAAATAAGGCCCCAGGGCAGAAGGTGAAAAAAAGAATGGGGGGGGCAGAGAGGGTGAGGAGGAGAAACGAAGATACTCAACCTCCTCCAGGCTTCTCTCCCTTTCTCCCCAGAGCACATTGACCTCCTTCTCCCTCCCTTTCTACCCGGGCCTCGTTTTGGCCCAGACGGGGTTTGCTGCGGGTGCGCGGTGCAGGCCCCATCTGGGCCAGGGGGAGACGCACCCATCCCAGACAGAAGCCCCTTACCAGGCGAGAGGACGCGAGACAGTGGCAGCGGGCCCGGGGGCGTCCGTAAGCCGGTACGCCCGCCCCCTGGTCCTCCGGCTTCAGCCTGGCTCCGGATCGCAGCACTGCCCACGGTCGCCCAAACTTCCCCGGCTCCCAGGCCGCCGTCGCCCCTCAGCCCACCCGGCTGCGCGCTCCGCTCCCGGCCACTGGGTCTCGCCTGAACCGCCCCCCGGGCGGCGCCAGCGCGCGGGGCGGGGCTGCAAGTCGGGGGGGCGGGGCCGAAGTGGGCGCCGGCGTGGGGCTGCCGCACGTGGGAGGGCGCGGACAGGGTTGGCCGCCGCCGCAGCTGTTGCCTCCTCCGCTAGGCCGCCTCTCGGCTCCCCGGCGCCCCGCATCCCCCACCCCAAACCGGACGACAGCGCGCCCGCCGCCGCCGCCGCCTCTCGGCCCTCCCATGATCGCCCAGTGCCTTTCGGCTGTGCGAGGCCTCCACAGGTACCTCCAGTGCGCGGGTTAACCTTGGCTGTGGGCCGGGCGTGGTCCCGTCCGTGCCAGGTGCCTGTGCTCAGCATTTCCCGAGCGTACCCCTCCGACGCCCCTGGGACTCTACGTCCCCGCGGCCCGCATGCTCTATCCTGAGGGACACCTGGCGCGGACACTTGGGGCCACCTTTCCCTCCACTCCCTCGGGAGGGCATCCATTCCCCTTTGTTTGGGACTGTCTCAGCTGCAGCCAGCAAGACTGGTCACAGGCCTGGCCCAAAATGAATGCAGAAAGATGGTTCGGATAAGAAAATCGTTTGACTTCCGCCTCCCATCCAGAACTGCGGACCTCTTATTAAAAGTGCCGGCAGCTGTAGACTCAGGAATAGCGATTCTGATTTGCCCCTCACGCATATCATTAGCATACAAATCGTTTAACAAACACGCGCGATGAAACCGCTATGGTTTTGCTGCTTATCTGGGTCCATGCTTTCTAATTTCCTTTTTATTTACCTCTTCCCCATAAAACATTCGGCGTCTTGCTGGGGCCAATTGACTTGGCCCAAAATGGAGGAAATTATTGCTAGGACACGGTTTGGGGCAGCCTCAGCTGCTGTTTTGGATTGCTTCCTAGCTCCCAAGCCACACCCCTCTGCCACAGACCAGTAGCAAGATGGTGAGAGAATTAAATTCTTTGCACGGATACACTAGATGGAGTGGTTTTCGGAAACAATGCCTCTACCACCCCCATCCCCAAATTCAGCCTTGAACTGTAAATCCTAATGAAGATCCAACAGAAAAAAAGGAAATATGTGTTTCTCGCTAGATACTTATAAAACTACTTTGGAAAATGTTCAGCATTTAAGCTTTTTGACAGTTTTCTATTGTATATGGCCACTCATCTGTGTGGAGCTTTGTGTTGCTCAGTCCCTGTAATTATGGTGCATCCAAGGGACAGTAATAATTATAAAGAGTTAATATGATTTTTACCATATTTCACACTGTCCTTTTAGTCCGCAGGCTGCAAGTGATACAGCTTCAAATGCAGCTATACCAACAAATGAAGATACATAACGCAGGTGTGAGAAGAATAAATTTTGTGTAAGACAGCCGTTCTCAGACTTTTTAGTCTCAGGACCCCTTTACCTTGCAAAAATTACTGAGGATCTAAGAGCTTCTGTTTATGTCGGTTATAACTACCCATATTTACCATATTAGAAATGAAAATTAGGGGATTTTTAAAGTATTCATTTATGTAAAAAGAAAACAGTAATAAACTCATTACCTGCACAAATAACATTTTTAATGAAAAATAACTGTTTTCCAAAACTCCTCCAAAAAAATCAGTAAGAAAGTGGAATTGTGGGTTGTTGTTTTTTTTCCTTCATTTTTTTTTTATGGTTGTAAAATATACATAATGTAAAATTTACCATTTTAATCATTTTTAAGTGCACAATTCAGTGACATTGAGAACATTTACATAGTTGTACAGCCATTACCATTATCCATCTCCAGATCTTTTTCATCATCCCAAAGTGAAATTCTGTACCCATTAAACAGTAACTCCTCATGTTCTTTCCCATCTCTGGTAACCACTATTCTTTCTGTCTTTATGATTTTGACTATATTAGGCACCTCCTACAAGTGGAATCCTACAGTTTTTGTTCTTTTGTGACTGGCTTATTTGAGTTAGCATGTTTTTAAGGTTCATCCGTGTTATAACTTAGGTCAGAATTTTCTTCCTTTTCAAGGCTGACTAATATTCCATTGTATCGATATATGTGGTATATCGATGTTGTTTGTTTATTCACCTGTCCATGATCACTTGGGTTGTTTCCATCTTTTGGCTGTTTTGAGTAATACTGCTCTGACCATAGATGTGCACACATCTGTTGGAGTCTCTCCTTTCAGTTCTTTGGCATGTATACTTAGAATTAGTATCCATATGGTAATTCTGTGTTTAATTTTTTGAGGAGCCGCTATGTTTCCCACAGCACTTGTACCATTTTACGTTCCTGGCAGCAGTGAACAAGAGTTCCATCTTCTCTATATCTTCTCCAACATTTTATTTGTTTTTGTTTTTTATAAAAACTATCCTAGGAGTGGCATTGTTTTACACTTGTGCAAAACAAATGTGTAACTTAATAGAAAATAGCTGGATTCTAATATCTGCTTCTGCATTTGATATGTTACACTTTTGTTTTGGTTTAAGAAGAAAATCCCACCTCACTTATATGTAGTTTGAAAAACAGGTGTATTTAACAGCTTTTTAAAAGTAATCATGAATATGCTTTGATATCATATCAAAGTTTCACAAGTGGTAGTTTTTTAAAGATTAGTTGCAATGCAGAATATGAAACTATCAGTGTACTTTTCTTATTCTGTTACATTAAAATCCATGGATTTTAAATGGATCCTTTACACACACATGATTTTCTAATATCAAACATTGGTTACTTGGAAAATCGCAGTACACTGTTTTATACAGATCTTCCTAATGTTGACACATTACGTTATACAATATCAAGTCATATTCCTGTATATCATCATCCACTCCATCATAAATGTCTTGAGGTATTCGGAAGCTGGCAAGCTCACAGTGGCAGATACAATTTTTCAAAATTCTAATTTTCATTTGAAAGCTGAAGTTTTATCAGTGGTAACAAATACTATCCATTCCTCGAGGTGACAGGCTCACTTTGTTACATTTTTGAGAGAACTTCTGCTGAATACTTTAGTCTGATCAATCATAGTTTGTCACTCATCTTTTCAAGTACAAATAGTGTTCCATGAGAAAAGCAGCTCCAATTTAATTGGTTGCACAAGTGCTTTTGGTTTGAGCAACCAAATCTTCTGGACAGTCTTGGTGCTCAAGTATACAGCAGAAGTGCTTTATGCATACTTTGCCACACATATCATTCAGTGATTGAGATTTAATAAAATTAAATATTTTACTATTTCATGAAAGTGAAATTGACATTTTTAGCGTGAGTCCGTGGCAGTGAAGAATATAATGACTGTTAAGACAGTTCAGTCCCACTGCCTTGACGTGTTCTAAGGAGCCAACAATTTCATCTACCATTGTTTCTTACCATCAGTACAAATGTCAACCAAGTGAAAAAAGTAAATATCATACTATTATCATGAAGTACTTGTAACCTCCCAGATGACTTGAAATGGTCTCAAGGACCTCTCCCCATATTCCCACCCCCAAGAATGGCAGAACACATCTTGAGAACCACTGATATGTGTTACTCAGATTCTTTGTCTATGCGTGGAAGAAAATAAATATATAAAAAGCCATGCAATTATTATCTTGTTAGAAGCTGGTAACCAACTAAATATATCAACTATTTTGTTACTTAACAGCATAATATTACAGTTAATCAACATATATAGCAGTAGTAGTCATTAACTTATGGCACTTGTGAGTGACTTAATCACAGAATCTTTGTTTCGAACTGTGTCCTCCAAAAAACAGTCAATACTAGACATCGTGGAAGGCCCTGTGTGTTCTCTTGATGTATTTTTTCCTGTTTCTTCCTACACTTGGGAGTTCATTTTCGTGTTTTAAGAGTAGGTTTTTGTTTACTGACTTAGGATTTCTTTTGTTTTTCTCTTGGTAGAGCTGCTATACCCCCTTCCCAAAGCCAGTTGGACAGCCAGGATGATTGATGGGGTCCTAGGCCAATTTCTTAGGAATAAGGGGACAGAGAATTTGAAAACTGGTTGTAGTTGCCATTTAGATAATCTTGTGACCTTAAGTAAATCACTCAATATCTTGGATCTCTCTCAAGTTCCTTATTTTGTAAAATGAAAAGGACTGGACTCAATGATACTTAAGATTTCTTTCAACTTTTGTTGCCATAGCGATTAAACCAGGTGAATTTCCCCTCCTTTCTCAGCCAGATTACACAGAATATGAGCCAAGCAAAATCTGATGCATACTGTAGAGTGAGGGATGGATGGCATTGTCAAAAAAACAAATAAGAAAGATGACTCAACAATATTTAGTCCAGGGGCGCCTGGGTGGCTCAGTCGTTAAGCGTCTGCCTTCGGCTCAGGTCATGATCCCAGGGTCCTGGGATCGAGCCCCGCATCAGGCTCCCCGCTCCGCAGGAAGCCTGCTTCTCCCTCTCACACTCTCCTTGCTTGTGTTCCCTCTCTCGCTGTCTCTCTCTCTGTCAAATAAATAAATAAAAATCTTTTAAAAAACAATATTTAGTCCAAATTTTATATATATATATATAAAATGGCCCTAGTTTCCTCATTCAATTAAAAAAAGAACCGTGGTTTTAAAAATTCTGACAGCAATGCATGTTCATTGTAGGAAACTTAGAAAATATTCACAAGCAAAAGAAACACAATCCAGAAGAACCAATTGTTAACAGCTCCCAAAATCTTTTCTACAAATAGACACTTTTTTTTTTTTTTACAAATATGGGATTATACCATATTTTTATAAGTTGTATGTACTGTAAACATCCTTCCATAATATAAATAGTTACAATGTAGTCCATTTAGAAATGTGTGATAATTAATCCCTACTTTTGAACATAACAACTTTTTCCACTTCCTGCTATGAGTAATAGTGCTTACTTAGATAAATGTTCTTGCTCTTAAGTCTTTTGCCAAATCCTTAATTATTTCATTAGTATAAGTTCTTAGCAATGGAATTTGTACATTAAAGGGCATGTACATCTTCCAGGCCTTTGGCACTTACTATCCTAGTTTTCTCCAAAACATTCCACCAAAATTACACTCTTACCAGTGGAGTGTGTAAATGCTAGTTTCCTACACCATTACCAACACTGAACATCTTAATATTTTTTACCTGTATCAATTTGTGAGGCGGGAAGTTTTCTTATTATAATTTGCATTGACTTGCATTTTTTTGAGAGTTTATTAGGTGAGTTTAATTCTTTAATGAAAATTCAGGATTTGTGATCTGAAGACCAAAAAAGTTGTTTGTTTCTGATGTGAGAATTTATTCATATGGGAAGTCTCAGAAAGTTAGACAGATTAAATTATAGTTATTCATAAATTTAACAATATTTCTGTATTTTAACTGGAATTAAGTAAAATTGCAATTGTCCCCCCAAATCCAGTAGCTAGAAACCCCAGAATTTTAGGACAATGGTGCTAGAAAAAAAATACCAATAAAGGAAAGGTTTTAAGTTATAAATATCAAAGGCTGGACTGAGATTATTTGTAAAAATGGATTTTAAAAAGTTGTAAAGGAGAATTTTTGTTGTTGTTCTTTGCCCCTGGTTTTGGACAGAAACATCTGGTACTTAGATTTAAATATTATCGCCTCTTTTGTTAAGACAAAGCAGAGAACTTCTGTGGGGAGAAGCACCTAGATTAAAGTATGAAGAACCAAGGAAATTGATGCTTATTGGATACATATGTATATGCCAAGTTCTGCATTAGAAAGGCAGGTAGTGGGGCGCCTGGGTGGCTCAGTCATTAAGCGTGACCTGCCTTCAGCTCAGGTCATGATCCTGGGGTCCTGGGGTCCTGGGATAGAGCCCCACCTCAGGCTCCCTGCTTGGCGGGAAGCCTGCTTCTCCCTCTCCCACTCCCCCTGCTTGTGTTCCCTCTCTGGCTGTATCTCTCTGTCAAATAAATAAATAAAATCTTTAAAAAAAAAAAAAGGCAGGTAGTAAGTATAGTACTCTAGACTAGAATAGACTAGGCTCTAGTAATCTGGACCTGTCCCTGCCACTGGCTAGCACTACAATCTCAGGCAGAGTTACTTGATTTCTCTGTGTCTGTTTCTTCATCAGTAAGTTGAAATTAATTGCTGATTTTTTCACTCACCAAATATTTTTTGAGTGTTATGTGCCAAACATTATTCTAGTTTTAATGATACAGCAATGAACAAAGCAGCCAAAAATCTTTGTGTTCATGGAGCTTATGTTCTAGTGGAAGAGACAACTAAGGAAAAATATAGAGTATGTTAAATGGGGACATGTGCCAGGGGGCAAAAAATAAAGCCGAAAAGAGGGATATCCGGTATTGGTGAAAATGAAATTATAGCATTGACGAGAGAGGGCTCAGTGAGAAGTTGGTAACTGTGCCTGTTGTGTTTGAGAAAT